GGTCTCCCCCGTACCCAAGCACCTAGATAGCGGCCCGAAAAACGATCTTCGGTATAATTTTCCACTAACCAAGCCAAACCTGGAAGCATTAGTACATAGGGCCCTCGATTCCTTGGGATCCGATGGCAATTTCCCTTTCTGAAGGTAGTCTATTTATTTGTTTCTCTAGTCCCAAGTCAAGCTTGTTGAGTTCACTTCGGCATGACCTTCTTCTATCACTGAGTTCATCAATTGCACCACTTTTCCGGAGTCGACTGAAGACCTAGATTTTCCAACGCATCAACCTCGTTATTTTGATCTCAAGGTACATGTTGTAGAGTCCATTCCTTGAATTGGTATAAGGTCTCTTGCAACTTATCCAAGTATCTCCACATCTGTTCCTCCTTTAATTCAAATGTCACGTTGACTTGGTTAACGACGAGGAGGGAGTCATATTTGGCCTCGATCACCTCATCCCCCAAGCTCTTAGCCAGTTCTATACCTGTAATCATAACCTCATAATCGGCTTTATTGTTGTTAGTCAATTTCATAGTTCTAATAGACTGCCTTGTTACGTTACCCGTAGGTGGTTTTAATATGATTCCCAGACCGGACCCTTTTGCGTTGGAAGCACCATCGGGTTTAATTTCCTAGATGCGCTCAATAAGGCCAGCCCGAGAGCTTAGGTTTATACATTTGGCCGGCCAGCCCGAGAGATCAGGTTTATATATAACATTCTTTAGCGGGTACGAGGTCACGACACATGTGGGGTGACACTGAAAGTACGGTTTTAATTTCCTAGATGCGCTCAATAAGGAGAGTGCTAATTTTTCCTGATGTGGATACCTTGTTTCGGCATCTCCTAGGGTTCTGCTAACATAATAAATAGGAAACTACGTACCTTTTTCTTCCTGGACCAGGAGACAACTTACTGCTACCTCAGAAACTGCCAAATAGAGGTATAACTGCTCGTTCGCTTTCGGAGTGTGCAGCAAGGGAGGGATCGTTAGGTATAGTTTGAGTTCTTTTAAATCCCACTGGCATTCCGGGTTCCAAGGAAGTTCTTCTTCTTCTTTAGTAACGAGAATAATCGGTGACTCTTGTCAAAAGACCTCGAAATAAACCAGCCCAATGCGGCTATCCGTTTGGTTAGTTATTGTACTGCCTTGACGTTGTCAACTACGATGATATCTTCTATGACTTTTATCTTGTCCGAGTTGATCTCTATTCCCCGATTAGATACCATGAACCTGGGAAACTTGCCCGAGCTGACCCTGAAAGCACACTTTCCGGATTCAGCTTCATGTTGTATTTCCTCAATATGTCGAAAGTTTCCTGCAAATGCTTCAAATGGTCCTCTTCTAGCAGGGGGTTTAAATACCATATCATCAATATAAACTTCCATCAATTTCCCTATTTATTCTTCGAACATCCGATTAACTAGGCATTGATACGTGGCACCATCATTTTTTAACCCAAACGGCATTACATTATAACAGTAGGTGCCGAATTTAGTTATGAAAGAAGTCTTTTCTTGGTCGCTCGGGTCCGTCTGAATTTGATTGTACCCGGAATAGATGTCGAGAAAACTCAGTATTTCGTGTCCGGCCGTCGCGTCGATCATTCGGTCGATGTTAGGCAAAGGAAATGAATTCTTTGGACATGCCTTGTTTAGGTCCTTATAATCCACGCACATTTTAAGTTTTTTCCCTTTTTAGGTACGACTACTCTATTCGCCAACCAATCCGGGTATTTAATTTCCCGGATGTAACCTATTTTCAAAAGTTTAAATACCTCGTCTTTGATGAATGCGTGTTTGATTTCGGACTGTGGCCTCCTCTTCTATTTGACCGGATGAAATTTTGGATCCAAGCTCAATTTGTGAGTTGTTACCTCTGGTGGGATTCGTGTCATATCTAAGTGGGACCAGGCAAAATAATCAGCATTAGCTTTAAGAAAATTAATAAGTTTTTCTTGAGCTCAGGATTTAACCCCGTGCCCAGGTATACCTTTCGATACGGTAAGTACTCGATCAGTATGACCTGCTCCAATTCCTCGATTGTCGATTTAGTGGATCGGTGTCATCAGGTGCTATAAAGGATCCCGGGACAGTGTAATCATCCTCCTCTTTTGTTGTGTGCTCCTCCCATTTTTTCGGTTCGGTCGAGGTCGGGATCGTTGATTGCTATTTGGTTTCCCTCTCTTCGATTAGTCCTCTATTTTTTTTACTTCAAGACCGCAGTCACCCGGATTACTTCATCGACAACGAACATCTCCTTTGCGGCCGACTGTTCCCCGTAGACCGTTTTGATTCTTCCCGGAGTGGGAAATTTCAATGCTTGATGTAGGGTTGAAGGCACCGCCCTTATGCTGTGAACTCATGGCCTTCCGAACAAGGCATTGTACCTCATATACCCCTCGATCTCGTAGAATTATATTTCCTGGGTGGTCCCGACAATGTTTACGGGTAGGGTTATTTCACCCTTCGTCATCTCGCACGCCATGTTGAACCCGTTTAATACTCGTACTGTCGGTATGATTTGGTCCAATAATCCCAATTGCTCTACGATCCTCCATCAGATGATGTTATCCGAGCTACCTGTATTAATTAACAAATGATTAACTCGAGATTTATTGATAAGTACGGATATTACCAGTGCATTGTTGTGAGGTTAGATGATGCCTTCGACATCCTCGTCGCTGAATGAGATGGATCCCTCCGGGACGTAATCCCGGGTGCGTTTTCCCCTTATGATGGAAACTTTGGTGTGTTTTATCATTGGCCCTTGGTGCATCCACTCCTCCAATGATCATGTTGATCACGTGTTGAGGCTCATCTTGCTCAATCTGTTTGTTGGCGTCCTGTTTTTGAAATGATTTTTGGCCCGTTCACTTAGGAATTCCCGAAAGTTCCCGTTGTTGAATAGTCGAGCCACTTCCTCCCTTAGCTGTCAACAATCTTCGGTCCTGTGACCATGAGTACCATGGTATTTGTACAACAATCTGTGATCCCTCTGTGTGGGATCAGACTGAAGTGGCCTAGGCCATTTGGTCTCCTTGATGCGGCCAATGGCCGACACTATACTTGCAACGTCCACGTTGAAGTTATATTCCAATAGTCTAGGGGCATCCCTGCCTCCAAGTGGTCTGTCGAAATCATTTTTAATTCATCAGACCCCAGTTGCTAGGTCCTTGATCGCTTCTCCTGCCATTCCTAGTTGGGTGGCGACCGGGTCCGTTTCCCCTTATGTCCGAGTTGTATGGATGATACCGGTCTCGAACCGGCATTGGCTCCTGGTCCATAATTATTTTAGACCTGTCGTTTGCTCTGTTGGGGTAAACAGACCCCGAGGGACCCCCGGCTGGTCGTCCTCGACTCTAATCTTTGATTGATGCATGTTATGGACATCGGCCCAAGTAACCACCGGATGCTCTACCAAGTTTTGCTTCAATTGTTGAGAAGCGACAGAACTTTGGGGGTTGAGTCCTTGAGTGAACACCTGAACGGCCCAATCATCTGCGACCAGGGGTAGACCTGTTCACTTCATCTGGAACCTGACATGAATTCCCTAAGTATCTCGTTGTCTCTCTGATTGACTTTGAAGAGGTCTGATTTCCTCGTCTCGACCTTGATGGTGTTAGCATGGGCCTTAATGAAAGCATCTGCAAGCGTAGCAAATGAATCAATGGAATTCAGAGACAAGTTATGGTACGATATCATCGCTCCTTTGGACAGGGTTTTCCCAAATTTCTTCAATAAAATTGACTCGATCTCGTCGTCTTCTAGGTCGTTGCCTTTTATTGCGCATGTATACGAGGTCACATGCTCGTTTGGATCCGTGGTCCCATTATATCTGGGAATACCGGGCATTCGGAATCTATTCGGAATTGGCTTCGGGGGCCGCACTCGTGGGGAAGGGCTTCTAAATGAATTTTTTGGAATCTGGCCCTTTCAATATTGGAGGTGCTCCCGGGATCTGATCGACCATCAAATTGTAAGTTTTCACCTTCTTATCATTTTTCTCTATCTTTTTCTCACTAGAGTCTACCCGCTTCGTTAGTGCTTCCAGCATTTTCATCACCTCAGAAGTTTTTCCGGGCCCGAACTTATCCGGTTCCCATGGCAATTATTTCATCCATTCGAGCGTTTTCTCTAACCCGCTCGGGCTTAGTCCTGTTCTGGGTGTGACTTTGGGTCTGTAGCTGTGCTATTATCGCTTGCTGAGCTTGTAACATTTCGAAAATCAATCGCAAGCTAACTCCATCACCTTCCCCTTTGGGTGCTTCTCGAGCCGAAGGCCGGGGTGCCCCGCGTATGCTATTTTCGGAGTCAGTTGACAGGTTGATGGTGATGGCAACCTGTGAGTTAGCATCGACCGGGTCAGCGATTGGTAGGGATGGGCGTTCGATCGGTTCGGTTTGAAGAAATTCGGTTTGGTTATTTGGTTTTCGGTTTGGTAAAAGTAGTAACCGAAACCGAACTGAAATAAGTTCGATTCAGTTCGGTTTTCCAATTTTAGTTCGCTTTATTTCGAATCGATTTTAAGTTTGAACATTATCATATTCGCCTTCCCCGGGCTCTGAGACATGAAACCCTTGGCTTTACTCGAGGTCCTGCCAGATCGTGCTTCCCTCTCGTTTCTTTACCGGAAAATCGGGGATAACTTTTATCCCCGACTTTAGCCGAACACAAAATTAACAGAAAAATATGAGTCTAGTTTATCAATCACTAAATTCCTTTATCTTCCAAGGGTACAAGTCAACTCTTAATAATATTATCATTTAATTATTATAAGTTCAGAAGTAAGAGAAAGATATCAATAAAAAAAAATGGTGAATTGGTGATCCACATAGAAGAATTAGTTTAGTCGTTAAATTCAAATTGGTTTCTCTTTTCTCCCCCCTTCTATTTCAGCTGGGAAACCATTCAATCTCTTTCCTAATTATGACTTGCTCTGTTCTAAACTCAGGACTTTTCAAATGGGAAGTATTTCTGAACAAAGGTAATGAATATCACATACCAATAATAATGAGGTACATGATCAAGCAACCAAGAGTAGTGATCATGACACAAATTTGTACTGCAAAAGAACCTGTCTTTCCGAAGTTCTCTTTCATCAATCCAGCGTACGTTGTCGACTGGCCGGCATACGTGAACCTTAACATGAAATCAACCGATATGTCCACTAATATAGCAACCAGAACAATCAACAAAAATGCTGGAATTACACCTAAGACCTTCATAGTTGCAGGGACCGACATGATTCCAGCACCAATAATACTTGTCGACACGTTGAACACTGTCCTCCATATCACCCGCCGGTTCTCTCTCGTCGGAGAGCTTTTCTCCCCCAGCAGTGGCACGTCAGCGCCGGTGCCATTTTTGACCGGGCCCATCAGTGGTACGCCTTCTATTATGTTGGCTGTTTTTGGTATGCTCTTAAAAACACTTGACCAATCAGCTAAATTTACCAAAATGGAGCAAATCTATAGTGAGAGTAAAATGCAAATTCTTCAACAATGTGAATGAATTGAGGGGTAAAGTTAGTCTTATAGAATGGTGGTGAGTTAGTTTAGACGTATGAGGGGTGCACAGGTGAGAAATATTAAATGTACAAAGGACACAAATATCCGACTAATGGGCCTTGGATCACCCTCTGAGCTAACAGTACTTTATGACAATAATTAGACAAGCAACATGATTCATTACGGTCATGATCAAATGGTAAGTCCATTTGATTCATGAAATTATATTTATTAATTAGTCATAGTCATAATTCCTTCTTTAACAGTTTTATATATGCTTGTTTGGTTCTCTTTATACCTTCTTGAGATCTCATGGAATCAAAAGATGCCTCTTGAACTAACTGTGGCTGTAAGCTTGTACTACCTATTAGTGAAAATTGAACATCACTATCTTTGAGTTGGACGTCCGACAAAGACAAAAATAATAGCGAGAGGTTGGCCCATGAGTAAGTGTCAATGGTAGGTAAATGTGAAGCAGGTTTTAAAGATTCTTCATGAATTCTCTAAAATATTTAAATAGATGACCATATGGACTTAATCTCCGTATATATACTGCTTAATAATATGCTTTACACACTTAATGATTCAATACTAAAAAGAGAAAGAGTAAGGAGCAAAAGTTACATTTTCGTCTGTGTCACAAATTTTGTTTCCAAAGAAAGGAAAAGCTACAGATATCATCTCTACCACAAGTTTTGACTTTCAAGACAAGGAAATGAACTATACAACTCTACCTTACTTTTGTACTCACTACTTGCTTTATTTACCAGTACAAAATCACTAGATATGTAAACAAAGAAAGTTAAGGAAACAAAATTCAGGAGCTTTGTGTAATTCCTTGTTGTATGGGCCAAAAAATATCTTTGGTGTAGGCAAGCTATAAGGGACAGTTCAAGCACACACCAGACCTAAAGCCAAAGTTTAATATGAGGCCTAAATTTTTTTTAAAAAGTTATAAGATATGTTTTTATTTGAGGCTTATTCTTCTAACTTTTTGAGATATAAAGTTGTTAATAATTTTTTTTATAATCGATTTTCTCTAATAATTCTTGCTCGATTGATAATATAGCCAACCAATCTAATCTTTCTTGAGATATTGTTGATCTTGGATTAGATTTTATAAAGTAATAGAAGTATAGAACTATTGAAAGTTTAAAAATATTGATGAACACTTGAACTAGTGAAATATTGGAGAAAGAAGGTGAATAATAAAATCTTTGGAGAAAGAAGTGAGTAAGAATATAAAAGAGAAACACAAAAAATATGTAGGGTTTTTTGAAATATGAAGAGATTGGAAAAAAGAAAGATTGACTTGGACAAATTAAGAAAGAGAGAGCAAATTTTTTAATGGAGTAAAAAATAAAAAACTAAAAGTTATGAAAACTATTCATCTATACATTTTTACGTAAGTCAAATTATTCTTTTATTTATATATCTAAAAAATTTTCTTTCCTTTATATTAAAAACTCTAGTTTTGTATTAAAAATACGAAATATTATTTTTTAAATACCTATGAACCTATTATTTTTAAGCAATGAGGCCCCCTAAATTTGGGGGCCTAAGGCACACGCCTTACTCCACATAAGGTTGGAACAGGCCCTGCAAGCTATGTCATCACCATGATAGCCTTTATCGGCCGCCACATGCTATCAATAAGGTCTCCATAAAGATTCGCCCCAGGTCGAGATAACCTCGAAGCGATGAAGGGTGCGGTCGAAGAGTCAGCATAGATCAAGTTCGTGGAGTCATCGTAGTTCAAGGTTGAGGTCGAGCATCTCAGAATGGTTATAACAACTAGTTTTAAGATAACACATAAAAATATTCTCTTTACTTGTACTATTAGGGTTTTCTAGGAACGTGTTCCCGATAAATAGAAAGAGACACAATAATAGGGGACATGAGAGATTCATTTGTAAATTACACGTTAATTTTATAAAGAGAATCTGGTCCTATTACAAACATACAAAAATAACCTTTTTACTAAGATTCTTGTCTATTATTTTCACTAGATCCAAGAACAACCTAAGTGTTCAAAGGCTCATCAATCATTCATCATTGTCAAAAAGAATATCCACAGATCTCACAAATTTTCGGGTGACACACACGTTCTTATTTACTTAAATGCCATCCATTGCCATTTATTACTATTTAATGCTATCTCCTATCTATTTTTATCATTAAACTATGTTATTATTGTTCACATTCATTATCATTCGGTCAAATATATATGTTACTTGTCATAAAACCTATAATTTAGTCTTGAGGAGATTATTATTAGTTAAGGTTAACTTTTCTTTATTAAAATCTTATTGGTTTAACCAAGATTTATATTTTTGGTCAAACAGTTTGGCACCGTCTGTGGGAACTCCTTAGCTAATTTTTAATTTCCTATAAGATCTACAGTTTACGTGAGTCACTAACCTAACAAATCCCCGAGATTTGTCTCTTTCTTTGCACATACATAAACCTACATGGCAGGTCACCGAGGAAAGAGAACTAAAGTGACAGGCGATTTCCTCAGCAACCTCATGAACGCTATCAATGAGAGTTGCGAGACATTAGGCGATGATGTGACACCCACTGCTTCCCTCAGGCGCGAGAGGTCGCCTCCCCCTATTGTAGCATAGCAAAACCAAATGGAAAAGGGGCTTCCATGTCCACAGAAGAAGGGACACCGCCGTCCGTGAAAAAGCTCCTCGAAGCATGGTTGACCGATACGCTAGTAATCATGCTCAACAAACCCACTCCATGCACAACTACAGAAACTGCAAGAACCTACATAGTACAACGAGCAGACGCACAGGGCGACCAACTAGACCCTCTAATACTAGGTATAACTCACAATATCACTAACAATGCAGGTGACAACGTCCTCGTCGCTGTTCTAAAGAGGATTGAAGAAATAGAGAATAAAAACAAAACACTTAGAGATCAAACAAAAGAACACCAAGAACAAGTGGACAAGATACCAGGCGCCCTTAAGATATTGCCGAAGAGGGACACCGACAGGTTCGTAGAACAGCCGTACAGCGAAGAAGCAGCCCTGCATGCCATACCAAATACGTTAAAAATGTCGTCGTACCTCAGGATATACGACGGAACGACCGATCTCGAAGATTACGTGACTCACTATGTCACCGGCGTGAAAGGCAACGACCTCACCAAGGAACAAGTGTCCTCTATTTTATGGGAAGGGCATTGACATGGTACTCATAACTACTAGCCCACTCCATAGAAACCCTCGAGGAAATGGCCGATAAGTTCGTAACGGCGCACGTCGGAGCCAAGAAACCAAAACAAGAGTAAACGACATATTCGTCATCAAGCATACCTTGGGAGAGGGACTAAGGGACTTCCTCACCCGATTCAATAGGGTAAGAATGACCCTACCAAACATGTCCGAGGGGATGGCGGTCGCGACTTTTCAAAATGGGTTGAGTAGAGATGGTTCGAGAGTGACTAGAAAACTGCTGAGTCGGTTGATAAAATATCCTCCAACCACTTGGGACGAAATCCATAGTGCTTACTGTGCGAAGTCTGAGCAGATGAGGACCAACTCAATGGACCAACTCAACGGCTCTTCTCAGTACAAGCCAAGTCTAGGAAAGAATGAAGAGACAACATCAGGAGGGATCACCCGATCTCACGATCCAACAGTGAACGAGATCAACCATATGTCAGGGCCCTTACCCCGCCCTCTTCCCGCTATCATGAAGGCCCATCCAAGTTGAGGACGGGGACTCACTGGAACGATCGATGTATGCCCCCTTATTATCTGCTCATAATTTTTGTGTGTCACCTACAAAAGTAGTCTATGCCCTGGAGAAACTCAGAACGAAGGTGAAGTGGCCGCCAAAAATGAGGTTTGATCCGAGCACCAGAAAATCAGACTCTCTGCGAGTTCCACCAGGAGCGCGGATACAAAATAGATGATTGCATCGCCCTCAGCAAGAGGTTGTAAACATGTTTCCGTAGGGACACATCAAGGAGTTGCTGAGTGACAAGGGGAGAAACTACTTTACTCGAGGACGTGAACACCAAAGCCCGCCGAAGCCACTGTCACCAGCTCACACTATCAACATGATAATCAGCTGCAGCGATGATGCCTCCATCAACGGTGTTAAATTCAGTACCACTCACAAGCTCAAACGATCTATCACCTGCGAACGGTATGACAGACTCGAAGAAAGTATCATCTTCGATGAGTCAGATGTTGACGGTTTGACTTTCCCTCACAATGATGCTCTGGTCATTACTTTGCGCATTTTCGATACTGATGTCAAACGTATCATGGTAGATGGTGGAAGTGGAGCGTGCATTATCCATCTCCGAGTCCTCACCTAGATGAGACTCTAGGACAAGATAGTGCCACGTTGTATCACACTAACCGATTTTATTAATGCAGTTGAACGAACATCGGGAGAAATCACACTCCCCGTCTTGGTCGTTGGCATAACGCTGGAGACGACTTTCCACATCATGGACCATGCAACCGTGTACAACGCCATAGTGGGACGATCATGGATGCATCCCATGTGAGCCATCCCCTCCAGCTTATACCAAGCAATCAAGATCCCAACACCTTGGGGGATATTCAGCATACAAGGATAACAACGCACATCCCGGGAATGCTACCGCATCGCTTTAGACAGCACGATAACCCCACAAAATAGAGACAAGGAAAAAGAGGCATAGCAATCAACAAGGCCGAGGTCAACACAGGAAGGGACCAAGGACGTCATCATGGATTCCGAAATGGTCAAAGCAGCGGACTCGACTGTAGAGGACCTCGACCCCGTTCAATTAGATCCCAGCTACTATAGCAAAAAGGCCTACATCGGCTGCAAACTCCAAGAACCAGGAAAATTTAGTCAATTCTTAATAAATAATGCAGATTTGTTTGCATTCAGCCATGTAGATATGTCGGGAATCCCCAAGGAGATCACCACACACAAATTAAACGTCGATCCATTCTACCCCCCAGTAAGGTAGGTCAGACGTAAGTTCAATCCCGATATCAGCGATGCCTTCCACGAGGAGGTGGAGAAACTATTAGAAATGAATCCATCATGGAGTCGAAATACCCCAAGTGGATCGCCAACGTAGTAATGGTAAAAAAAAAAACAAGAAATGGCGATGTGTGTAGACTTCACAAACTTGAACAAAGCATACCTGAAGGATTCTTTCCCGTTACCACATATCGACCAACTCATAGATGCAACGGCCGGGCACGAGCTATTGAGTTTTTTGGATGCATACTCGGGCTATAACCGGATACTTATGGAAGAAGACGACCAGGATAAAACCACGTTCATCACCCACCGAGGAACATATTGTTATAGGGTCATGACTTTGTGCTGAAGAACGCAGAGGCTACCTATCAAAGATTGGTCATAAAAATGTTCAAATATCAGCTCGACAAGACCATGGAGGTATATATCGACGACATGCTGATCGAATCCGTAAAGGTCGAGGACCATATTGACCATTTGAAGGAAGCTTTAGACATAATGAGATGATACATAATGAAACTAAACCCAGAGAAATACGTGTTTGGCGTAACCTCAGGAAAGTTGTTGGGCTTCTTAGTATCACAACGAGGGATAGAGGTCAACCCAGACCAAATCAAAGCTATCGAAGGGATACCGGAGCTCCTAACTACCAAGAAGCAAGTCCAAAGGTTGATTGGTCGAATTGTCGCCTTATCGAGATTCATCTGACAGATGTCACAAATTTTTTTGGTGTACTAAAAAAGGATAACGGCCTCGAGTGGACCCCCGATTGCGTACAAGCTCTGCGAGAACTGAAGGCGTATCGGTCATCACCACATCTGCTCTCAAAGCTAGAACTCGGGGAACATTTCCTCGTCTACCTGGCCGTCTCCAAAGTGGCAGTAAATGCAGTCCTGATCCGAGAAAGTAAAGGTATGTAATCTCCCATTTATTACATTAGCAAAACACTCGTCGACGCTGAGACTAGGTACTCACACCTCGAGAAACTGGCCCTGGCACTTGTATAGCTTTACGAAAGCTTAGACCCTATTTCCAGTGCCACCCTATCTCAGTCATCACCACCTTTCCCTATAAGGAGCATTTTACATAAACTCGAGCTATCGCGGAGGCTGGCCAAGAGGGCCATCGAGTTAAGTGAGCACGTCATCACATATCAGCCACGAACGACGATAAAGTCATAAGTTCTCGCCAACTTCGTCGTAGACTTTAGCGTAAAGATAATGCATGAAGTCGAGAAGGAAGTCGCCCAAGCTTCTTTCCAAACACAAGACCTCTAGGTCCTATACACTGTGGCCACATCCAACACTTTTGGATCCGGACTAGGACTCGTACTCGAGGTCCCCACCGATGAAGTAATTCGCCAGTCCATAAGATGCCTAGATATGATTAACAACGAGGCCGAGTATGAGGCAGTAATTGCAGGATTGAGGTTAACGCTCGAATACGGGCCGAAGCGGTTAAAACTCCGTTGTGATTCCCAACTCATAGTCAACCAAGTCACAAGGACTTTTCAAATCAAAGAACAAATGTTGCAAAAATATTAGACCAAAATTGTATGCTGCTGCCCAAGTTCGAGGCTCGACCAGATCACGCGTGCGCATAATGTGGAAGCAGACGGTCTCGACAAATTAGCCGCAGCCACCAAAAGCATCACGATCGGGGATAAAAGTGTAGTCCACCTCCTCAACTCATCACTAGACCAAATCGAGGTAAGATCTATAAGCTTAACCCGGGATTGGCGCAATCGTATTATCGCCTACTTGTAGGACGGCATGCTCCCTAACGACAAAAAGAAAGCCAAAAAACTGAGAATGCAAGCAGCCATATACAATCTCCTCCATATAGACTTGTACAAAAGGACATACGACGGCCCTTTGGCGAAATATTTGGTCCCAAACCAAACCCAGCACGTTCTCGAGGAAGTCCATGAAGGCCACTGCGGCACTCACTCCGGCAATCAAGCACTCGTTAGGTGTCTCATTCGGGCAAGGTACTATTGGCCCGCCATGAAAAAGGATGCCTCAGAATTCGTGAAGAAATGTGAACAATGTTAAGGTCATGGAGTCAGCAGAGATCAAGGTCGTGGAGTCATCGTAGTTCAAGGTTGAGGTCGAGCATCTCAGACAGGGTTATAATGACTAATTTTAAGATAAGACACAAAAGAGAATATTCTAGTGGATATTCTCTTTACTTGTACTATTAGAATTTTCTAGGAACATGTTCCCGATAAATAGAAAGAGACACAATAATAGGGAGCATGAGAGATTCATTTGTAAATTACACTTTGACTTTATAGAAAGAATCTGGTCCTATTACAAGCATACAAAAATAACCTTTTTACTAAGATTCTTGTCTATTATTTCCACTAGATCCAAGAACAATCTGAGTGTTCAAAGGCTTATCAATCATTCATCATTGTCAGAAAGAGTTTCCACAGATCTCACCCCTTTTTGGGTGACACTAAGGCTGTCCAACGGGATGGGCCATCCCGTCCCGCGTCCCGTCCCACGTCCCGCCCCCTCCCATCCCATCGCACTTAATTCTAAATGGGATGGGCCCATGTTAAACGGGACACGGAATATGACGGGATGGCTATTTCATCCCTTTTGTCCCATCCCGTTTTATCCCGTCCCGTCCCGCCTGTCCCACGTCCTATTTTTTGTGTGCATTATATACAAGAAACTTATAATCCTGTTTTTTAAGGTTTTCCTAAGACCATGGTTAGAAATGATATTTTTAAATTTCAAACTGAATATCTTTAGTATATTCGTTGTGTATTTTTTTCACTTAGATTGTAAAGTATCTCTCACATCTGATATAGATCGTAGTCCTAATGGTTGTGATTATTTAACTGTTACATGTCATTGGGTTGATCATCACTGGAACATGCAAAAACGTATTATTGGTTATAAATTTGTTGATTCAAAACATACTGGAGCATATATTGCAACTACTGTTCTACAAATTATTGATTTTTATGGACTCATTGATAAAGTTTTAACTATCACCTTAGATAATGCTTCTGCTAAGTGCTAACACAACTGTAACAACTAGCTTAATGAAATAATTCTAAAATTAATCCAACTTATGCACCAGCCATTAATGAAATGATTGTAAAATTTAAAAAGTATTTTTTTTCAATTTCCCAAATTTATTTAATTTTTACTATACTTAACCCATCTTTAAAATTAAGAGGTGCAAATGGACTTATTCGTAAAATTTATGAGAATTTAGCAATTCAAGAAAATGAACAACCATGTCTCGAAGACTGCCAAGCTAACATATATTCTTATGTTAGATCAATATTTTATAAATATAAATCTATGGAAACAACATGTGGTGAAACTAGGGAAGAAGAAGAATACAATGAGATACTTAGCACTGGGAGCTATGACGAACTCATGGAACATCAATCAACATTGCCAATTCCAGAACAATGTCCGAGAGAAATTATAGATAAGTTACAACGAAGTTATATAGGAGCTTACAAATATTAGTATGATAATTTGTAATTGGCTACTAAGAGGCCTAGTTCAAACAGAATCCTTCCTAGAAGGTGGCTGCATAGATTAGGTGCTCTTCAAAAGAATTATATTTGTATGTGAGATTTGAAAGTTCTATTAATAAAATAAAAGGCTCTAAGCGTTGAATTGTTTTTATGAATTGTCTTACACTCTTACTTAGTTACTTAATGGCTTGAAATTATATTAAATAAATTATAACTCTATTATAAATTTATAATTACTAGAATATTTCATTACAAGTCTTTTATTTTAATATTTTATAATTCTTTACTTAGTTTCCTATTTTTCGTTTAATTTTAAGTTTATTAAATAAGTCAAAAAACTAGCTGTTGCAAACTTTAAAAATATAGTCATTGTCAAAAGAATAGCCGTTGCCAAACTCAATGCTTAAGTAATTTTTTTTAAAAAATAGCACTTAAGGCCCGCGAACCCGTCCCGTCCCATCCCGTTTGTTAGCGGGATGGGACGGGCCTACCGTCCGTCCCGTCCCGTCTCGTCCCGTTTGTTAGCGGGACGGGATGTGCCTACCGTTTTGTCCCGTCCCGCCACCGTCCCGGCTAAATGTCGTCCCGTCCTGTCCCGTCCCGTCTCGTCCCGTTAATTTTATCCCGTCCCGTCCCGTTGGACAGCCATAGGTGACACACACGTTCTTATTTACTTAAATGTCATCCATTGTCATTTATTACTATTTAATGCTATCTCCTACCTTTTTTATCATTGAACTTTGTTATTATTGCTCACATTCATTATCATTCGGTCAAATATATGTATGTTACTTGACATAAAACAGATAACCTAGTCTTGAGGATATTATTATTAGTTAAGGTCAACCCTTTCTTTATTAAAATCTAGTTGATTGAAGCATGATCTATATTTTTGGTCAAAAACTTGTGTGAGTGACTTCATCATGAGAGGGAATAGAAAAACATTAGAAAGACTAAAAACTGTAAACGTTGCCTATTTTCCGCCTCTTAATAAAAAAAATAGAACACAAAATAGTTAAAATGTTAGGTGGAAAAAAAGACAACGAAAAAGCTTAAACAAATCAACAGGAACCACCCTTAGGTGGTAAAGAGATTTCGAACAAAAAAAAGAGTAGGTTCGTTCTCAAAGACAGGAAGACACTTTTGGACTTGCACTAATAAGTTAGAAACATATCCGCAGAGGATTATGAGGATCATTCCAGGCCAAAAGAGCTGACTCACACACAAAAGATTCTGACTGATCTATGATTTTCTACTTCTGATATCACTAGATCTTGGTTCATTTGAGCATTTTCTCTCATATGTGCTTCCCCAATTTTTTAATCATCTCGTTTAAATTGAGAATATATATTTTAAAGAATTGGAAAAACTGAAGTATTCCTTCTTTATTTCCAGAAGGTAAAAACATGAAGCAGGAGAAGCCCCCTCAGTATGCTTTAGTAGAGCTTCAAAACAACTAAATTAACAACAACATACATATACATTTTTCCTGTGCCTACCCTAAAAGAGGGCATCTATATCGTTAAGCTGCTAGTATGCTTAAGCAGTGGTTCGATGAACACATAACTTTAAGATTATAATAGGTTCAATGATAAAACCTGAAAGTTGAACCCATAAAAATTAAATCCTGAGTCCGCCTCTGCCAACACTACCAGCTATTCAATGTCGCTTCAATTAAATACAAGTTGGTTTCCATTCTCATTGATTTGCTGATTTTCCAATGCTCAATACAACTTTTTCTGATGATCATTATACATAATTAAACCACCTTACAACACCAATCAACTAATTCTGAGACTGCTTCGACATCCAGAAAACTTGTTCATTTGTTGGCAATGTAAGTTGCAATATTAGAGTATATAGCAACTGAACTAGTCCCAATGGCAAATATGATCACCAATACAGCCAATATCTTTTCCCGAGTTGTAGATATGTTATGAGCATCTCTGCAAAAACAATTTAGCAATAGTAAATGGAAAAGTTGATTAAAGAAAAGGAAACAAGAAATAGTGTGTATTTTACAAAGGATCTCTCTAATATTTCAAAGAGAACAAGTCTCTTTCTCTGTCTTTTCTGTTTAAGAATAGTTTCTTTCACAATGATTGAAGTAGTACATACCTAAGAACAATTGAGCTTGGGAATATGAACATGATGCACATGACTGTTGTCGTTCCCATGAACTGAAAGAAGTACCAAATATTTGGAATGGCTACAGCAGCTCCATAAATGAATGCAAGTAAAACACAGGTAAGGGAAAAGAATCGTAATGTTTCTGTGGCCAACAGAGGTCTCTTAGGAAAGAATAGTTCATCCACATTAACCCTCAGAGAATAATTCATCACAGGAAACACCAGCATGAGATGAATGGCATAACTCAATCGAACAGTATCGTTAAGAACTGCACCGATTAAAGAGTCAGAGGCTTGATCAAAGTTGACCAGCATGTCGGCCATGATCGAGTCCCCAAACAATAGGTAGCCAAAGAATCCCACAGCAAAGTAAATGGCCACACATAATATTAAAGAAATGCGAACTGCCGATGTCATGTCAGATGGCCTTCCCATCTCTGCTCTTACCGGATGAACTGCAAAGGAAAATAACCACTTGAAGTTAACAGATAAAAATGTAAAAGAGCGAAAATAACAAAGAACGACAGATATCACCTAAATGATTGACTACTACCCTAACCTTCAACTCCATAGCTAAAACATATATGTTTTCACAGATGTGTTAAAATTGGAAAGGGTAGAAAGTGAACATACTTTTATACGCCAACGAACGACTTACCATTAACATGACATCCAAAGGCAGTAGCAAAGACTGGAATGGTTGTGAACAGATCAGAAAAGGAAACTCCATGTGAAAAATCTGGTACCCATCGTAACCTTTGTGTTTTTCCCTCCCACATTGCATGTATTGCCATCATCGAGCATATGACTACAAACAGTACTGCTAGCAGGATTGATATTGCCGATGCATGTCTCAGTGAATCTGGACGTTAAAAACCATAAATTTAGAATCCATTATATACAGATCTTGTAGATATATTAGTTATATTAAATTATGCTACTCCAGTTTGACAAATGACCTAAAACTATGTTTCCATCCATAACATGCTGGTTATTTGGTCAAACGTCTAGCGATACAACAAAAGCTCTATATCATTCTAATCCAGTAGCAAGTCTACCTACTCTCAGTTTAACTCTTTCTAAGGCACAGAATCAGCTGAATAGCACTTACAACTGTCCTTTATGAAGCTACTAATGGAATTAGATATCAACCTGATTAGAAGATCACATAATTATATGTTAGGCTTATGCACTTCCAAGTGTACTTTATGAAGATCATGGCAAAATCAGCAGATAGAACTACTAAGATCAATTAGTGAAGCTACTTATGCAACTACTCAACCAACCTATGCGCTTAACACAGAGCAACGGAAGCATGACAAAAAGCACAACAAAAAGAAGTGAAAATGCCCGGGAAGTCCACCAGTGGATGCCAAACCATTCCTGTAGAGTACCCAAGTGCACTGATCCATCAGAATTATTTCCTGAGAGCACATCCCCTGTGAAAAAGACAAATTATATTAGTGATAGATACTTCAGCCAGCAACTCCTGGGCTGTATACAAAGTAAAATTCTACAAGTGAACCCCGTTCTCTTGCTTTCTTTGTAAAGACAAATAGCAATAGGTATAGTAGTTCTGTTCCTCTTGTTTATCCTTTTTCCCCCCTTCTTTTTTGGGTCTACAATTTAGATGGAGGCTCTATTCACCTCATATTTTCACATTGTATTTCTACTGCATTACATCAATCACAGTTTCGTTAAGAAATATAAGGAACAATAATGGCAAATCAACCACCTTAATTCAACAAATCAACCAATATGTAAGCTAGGAATTTTTCAGGAGAATAATCATCGGTATTCAATGAGGTAAATGTATTATTATGTGTTCCAAAAAGATCGCCCTTCCAATTCACAGATGGGCTAAAAGTGCCATATTACTTCATCAACCAAATAAGAATACTGGAACGTGATTTACTCCTCTATATCAAAGCCTATATTTCACCTCTCAAAACAGAGCATTTGACAAACAAGAAATAATTAAACAACTCAGTGTAGTAAGCACCGAGTTTGAATTGAAAAAAAAAAGGTTTAGTGTACTTGCTTACCAATAATGATCAAATAAATAATTAAGGCACCAAGATTAGTGATCATGACACAAATCTGAAGAGCAACAGAACCAAACTTCCCAAAAGACTCGGCCATAAGCCCACCATAAGAATCCGACTCTCCCGAATGAGTATATTTCAACAGGAAATCCACAGTCACCTCAACAAAATATCCAACTAACAGAATAACAAAAAAACTTGGAATTACACCCAGAACTTTGAAAGTAGCAGGGATTGACATAATTCCAGCACCAACCATGCCAGTTGATATATTAAATATTGCACCACAAATTGATCCTCCCTCTGACCTTTCATCCTCAGACAATTGATTCTGGTCCACAGGTAAAAGTGGAGCAAGAGACCCAGAATCTTGCTTCTCTGTTATCATCTTTGTTTAGCAGTTTCAGCTTATGGGATGCTAGAAAAAAAAAAACAAGACTTTAAATAGCTTTTCTAATTTTAGAATGGTGTGAAAGATGACAAGAATTTAATCATCATAAGATAATGTGAGGACCCATATTTAAAGAAAGCCCTTTGAATCAAGAAACAATTATAGATTGGTCAGATTGGAAGGCAAACAGAGACAGAAGTTTCGAAATACCAATTGGCGGATTCACGAGANGGGTGGAGTGGGGGTGGGGTGGGTATAGGGAAGCTATCTTATCCTCTTCTTCTTAATTACCCCTAAATTCAAGAAGTCCGATTTGAAAGACAAAATAGGTGAGGCGGTCGCCGAAAATTTAGCGCATGTGGGGTGGCTCACGTCCACCTTGGGTTGAATGTTGAACCTGACACCATTTTTCCTTTCTGTCAATTTTGACACAGATGTTGAAAATCAGAGTTGGATTTACCACGTAAGGAAAAGTATTAAATTTACACCATTGTCCCTATAAAGTTTTCATTATTCCCCTGAAGTTTGTATTGGGTTTACTTTACCCACTTTACCACAAATCGAGTTTCATAATGTCTCGGTGAAAACATTAGAAAGGCCATGTATGCTACTTTATAAAAAAAAGAAAATTATATAACATTGAAGAAAAACTTAGAATATTTAAGGATGTGTTTAATTTTATTAAGATTAAGATGTTTAGATTTGGATATACATCTAATTAATACAAGATATTATATCTAAATTTAAACACTAAACAATTAAGACTTCTTGTTTTCTCAAATCAGAATGTGTAAAATATATCTTTACTTAAAAATAAATAAACACATAATTCAAAAAAAATATGTAATGGATTTTTATCAATATATTCGAAAAAATATTAATTTATATGGGGGTGTATAAATTACTTTTTCTAATGAATCATATTCTAAGAAGTAGGGACAACAGTGATGTGTGGTGATTGTCAATGAGTAGATGTGTATGGTGAGGTGGAATTTATTTAACAGTATATAGTAGTGATTGATTATGGAAACTAGTAGTGGAAATGATTGGTGATGGAGGTGGTGAATTAGAAATTAAATTTTGATTTGTTTGAATTTTTTTACTTTCAACTAAAAGAAATTTTATTTTCTTCGAAAAGAGAGATCGACTTAATACCAAACATCATTAGGGGTTGTTTGGTAGATGTATTAGAGAAAATAATATATGTATTAATTTTAATATTATTAATTCCTTGTTTGGTAATGTTTCCAACCTATATTTGCAATACATTATAACATTATATTCAGTACTATTCTTATACATGACAAATTATGTCATTAACAATACCATATATAGCTTTTAATACTCACTCTATTCACTTTTACTTGTCACGTTTTGCTTTTCGAGAGTTAAATTGACTAATTTTTAAAGCTAAATTATGTTATATTTTCTTAATATTTTAAAATTAAAATTTAGATATTCGGAAACTATATGAAAAATAGTATAAATTGTATTTTTTCTCATATCAATATGGTAAAAAAATACATGTTAAAATGTTGATTCAAGTTTATNATATAAAATCAAAATTATTCTTTCAAAACCTTTTCCAAATGTGTTCTGTTCCCATGTTTTTCAGACGTAGATTCTTGAAAATGATGGATGCTTAAACACGCCGCAGTCCATGAATGGAACAGACATTAGCAGGAAAAATTGGAAGTTAACTGATTTGTAGTTTTACTGGTTTTTTTGGCTGACAATATTGTACTTAGATTTGGAGTTTGCAAGTGGCGCCATTTTAACGGGGAAAAAACACCTCAAGTTTTCTCTCTTCTTATCCAAAATATGACGTGAAATTAAGCTAATGTTTGAGATGAATTTAATTAAAACTTAAAAAAAGATAAAGTTGTGTTGAAAAATAATTTTTAAAAGTTAAAATTTTGTGAGTGAAAGAAATATTTTCACCAAAAAACTGCCCTAAACCAGTTTTGATAAACTTGAAATTTTTTGAATTTTTTTTTCCAAAAATATGATCATATTTTATAAACAAATATTGTTTTCAAAATTTTTTGAAAAAATAAAGCAAAAATCTATAATAAAAGAGTGATTTTTAACGTAAGAGGACTTAGGTCTCATTTGTTTTTTTTTAAGATTTAGACATCTGGATCTGAATACACGTCTGAATATCAAAATGTGTATTAAGATTAAGTCATCCGAATCTGAATACACATATGAATGTCAAGATGTGTATTAAGATCTGAATACTAAATTATTAAGACTGTTTGATTTTTAATATCTGAATGTATAAAATTTACGTTTATCTGAAAATTAATAAACATAAAAATCAAATAAAATACTAATTAATCTAATATTACACCACTAAAATATATATCTTTTTAAAATATGATAGTTGCTGGTGGTGATGGCTAACGGTTGTGCTTGTGAATGCCGACTAAAAGCGGTGGTTGGTGGTAGTTTAGGGTAGTAGCTAGTGGTGATTGGTAGTGGTAGCTATTTATGATTGAAGATGGTGGTGGTGGGTGGTGATATTTAATAATGGCGAGTGGTGGTGGTGGTAGTTGTGATTGAGGAAGATGGTGGTGGGTGGTGGTAGTTTATAATGATGGGCAGTGCCAACTATAGTTGTTGATGGTGATAGGGTGGTTAGTTGTGATAGTTGAGGTGGATGAGTGTTGGTTGTCGTTAATGATGGTGGTGGGAGTGGTGGGGATGGTGGGTGGTGGTAGTCGACAATGGTGGCGGCTATGATTGAGGATGGTGGTAGTGGTGGGTGGCATGGTGGTAGTTGATAATGATAGGCGGTGGCGGCAGTTAATAATGAATATGGATAATAGCATCTTAACGAAATTAAGTCTCTGTTATAGATCTTAATGATATAGACATATTCAGACCCATTAAGTGATAGTGAAATAAAAAAACAAACACACTTAATGATTAAGATATGAATAATTAAGATTCAGACTTTTAAAACAAACGCACTTAATATCTGAAATCTGAATATTAAGATTTTAGACTTCCATTGAGTGCGAACAAATGAGGCCTTAAAACCACATGCATACAGTCGAATGGGATGCGCCACGTCCTTTTGATACCTCTGGTTATTGGTGTGGGTTTTTGCGTAATTAATATTTATTAAATATCTTAACTCCAATATAAATGTTAAGTGCATATGTAATTAGATAGTTGCTACGAAAGTTCTTCAATTTTTCTTTTTAGTTGGATTTTACCATATTTCTGTTTGTTAGCTGGAGTGAAGACTACTTTTTTTCTTTTCGGCTTTCATGCTCTATATATATTTATATAAATATGGATAACGTCATTTCCAATTTATCAAAATACACAATTTTTTCTTCAAATAGTTTAAAAGAGAATATCAATCTTCTTCTTTTTTCATTTTTAAGAAAGAATAATTAAAGCTTTGCAAAGAAAATATATATACAAAGTTAAAAAATATGAAGCATATTTTTTAAACAAATAATTTTTAACAAAAATTATGCAATGTATATTATTTTTAAGAGAATCTTACATAAATGTCTCAAATAAGTCTCAACTTACCAACATCTAACCATTAATCATAGACTTACTAAACTAGTCAAGCACATCTAAAAATTAAAAATTTAAATAAATAAGGTTTTTTTTCCTCCAAAAATCACATGCAAATATCTCCTTCCATATTTTTAAGCGTGAGCAAGATGGAAAGAAAATTTTACGGATGAGGTAGCAAATAAGGGATGAAATACAAGAAAAATAATAATATATATATAAGATACCAAAAATCCAAACAGAAAAGGATAATTTTCAATGGGTATGGTTGAAATTCATTAAAAGCATACAGATGAGCCGCTATAAAAAATTTGAAAAAGATTGATTTGGACTGATTTGGTATCAAAATTCGTAGTTAAAATCGACTTCAAAAAATTCTTCTGCGACACATGTATCTCACACACATGTATACATGGATATATGTGTGATATAATCACACATGTATCTCACACACGAGTATACGTGGATATATATGTGATATACATTTGATACAAATATGATACATATGTGATACACAAATGATATACAGTGTGATACACATATCATTTTTTTTCATGTTCATCTTCTACTTCGAATTTTCAATTCAAATCACCTTAAAACTCCACCAAATCATCCCAAAACATAGATTTAAGCTCCCTAAGATGTACTCAATCTATTTTAATAGCACCCATTCAAAAAAAAGCAAAAATTTGATATTTTTTGGCTACAAGTAGCTAATTGGCTAATATTAGTAATATTTTATAAATTGACCAATTTTTATAATAAGCTACTTATAAATGGACATAGCTGATAGTTTCTCTATATTTAATACACCAAATCAAACAGTCGATAAAACAATAATCCTAGCATAATTAATCTCAATATAATTAATCCTAACATTTTAATTTCATCATTACGAATATACTTTATTTAGTTCTATTCTTGTACACCCTACCAAATGACCCTTAATGTCTGAAATTTGCACTATATACATTTAGAAATAGCTTGAAGTAAAAAACAAACAGTCTGAAATTATTGATAAAGATGGCATTGTGTCAAAAACAGTACATCTCTTTTGGATGCTAGCAGAGTAGCAGTCTTGTCAAGAAGTTCCCTCTTGCTTAAATTTTTGGTACATTATCAACTATACCTACCAATCTACCATACTCCTACAAACCTTATCTCCTTACCTGTTAGCCTCCCATATTAAGTTAGATTCTTTGTTTGCCTTATTACTTATCTACGCAAGAAATAGTACTAATACACCAGCCGTTTCAATTTAGACGAGGTAGTTTGAGACGATATGAAGTTTAAAAAGAAAATAAAAAAAAACTTTTGAAACTAATGATCCTAAAAGCTTAAGGGGTAAAAGTTTTGTGGAGCCATGATATTTTTGTGGTTATAATTTATAAAAGCTTCTCGTTAAGGGTAAAATGAGTAAAATGAGTAAAATGAAGAGTTTAAAGTTAAATTATTTTCAAATTTAGAAATATGTCATTTATTTTAGTACAGACTAAAAAGAAAAGTACGTTGTCAAATTTGAAACGGAGGGAGTAAAAATTATCGCCCTTAAAGTTTTGATCCATGCTACATGGCTCCATTTGTTTCAAATATCACAATTCCTTTCCTTTGTGTCTTTTCCTTCCTTTTCCTTTTGTTTTTTAAGTAATCAACAATTTATCGCGGAAAATTTAACTTAATTATGCATTG